ACAATCATTGGTCATTGTGGTAGGTTGAATAATGGCCCCCCAAAAGATCCAGGTCCTAATCCCTGGAAATTGTGAGTGTTATTACATATGGCAAAAGGGACTTTGCAGATGTGAGGAAGGATCTTGAGACAGGGAGATTATTCCAGATTATCCGAGGGGGCCCTAAATGCAATCACAAGTAACCCCGTAAGAGGAAGGCAGAGGGAGATTTCATGCAGAGGAAAAGGCAACGTGAAGATGGAGCAGAGGGAGATCTGACGGTGCTGCCCTGCTGGCCTTGAGGATGGAGGAAGGGGCCCCAAGCCAGCAGCCACCAGCATCTGGAAAACGCAAAGAACAGATTCTCCCCTGGAGCCTCCGGAGGGGATGTGGCCCTGCTGACACCCTGGTTTCAGCCCAGTGACACAGATTTTGGGCTTCTGGCCTCTAGAACTGTGAGAGAAAAATCTCTGTTGTTTTAAGCCACCAAGCTTACGGTACTTTGTTACAGCGGCCCTTGGAAACTAATACTGTCCGGTTCCATTCTGGGGTTTATCGGATTTGGATCAGGGGATTTAAAAGGAATGGCATTTAGGCACCAGGCCCCCATGCCTATATGGCTAGAAGGAGAGATGGGGTAGAAGCAGGTGAGTGAGTGTGGCTAAGCTATGGATGTTTCTAGATGTGGCAGCTGCCTGGGTCGTCAGCAATCATGTGTAGGGGTCATTCTCCACACCTTAGTCCTGCCACTTTTGGGGATGCTGAAGGTGTCAGGCAGGCAAGTGACTTGCCCCAGGACACTATGCCTGTCTGGCTCGAGCTGAAGCAGAGGTTAGAATAAAAATTCAAGTCCTTGTATACCTCTCCAGCCTCCTGCCAACGCTCCCTTTCTCTTCTCTCACCGCCTTCCAGACACAGAGACCTCTCTGACCTTCCAGCATGGCCTTGGTGCCTTTGCACCTGCTGTTCCTTCCACATGGGACACTCTTCCTCCGGGATCTCCTGTGACTGGCTACTTCTTATCATTCGGGTTTCAGGTCAAACGTCACCTCCTCAGAGAGGCCCTCCCTGACTGCGCTAAGGCAGGGTGCCACAGTCACTTTCTCTTTCATCACCCAGTTGATTTTCTCCCAGCTCTTCTCACACTAGGTAATTATCTTGTGAACGTCTTTGTTTGCCAGTTCAGTGTTAGTCCCCTCCCACCCAGACTGCAGGCTCCAAAAGGGCAGGGACCTTGTCTGGTCTGTCGGGGGTGTGTCCCTGGACCAGGCCTGGCACACACTGGGTGCTGAATACATTCTGAATCAATGAGTGAGTGGGCGAGTGAGCGAGCGAGTGAACGTGAATGGATGAATTTGCAGCTTTGGGAGATGCCCGCCCAAGGCCAGTCCCCACGTACCTGACCTTGGCTTTCCGAAAGGCCAGCTCCTCTTCATTGCCAAAGTCCAAGGACACATCCTCTGTGTCGTCCATCAGAGCCTGCCAGGGGCACCAAAGGCGAGTGGCAGGCCCCACCCCCACTGCTGGNCACACCTTAGTCCTGCCACTTTTGGGGATGCTGAAGGTGTCAGGCAGGCAAGTGACTTGCCCCAGGACACTATGCCTGTCTGGCTCGAGCTGAAGCAGAGGTTAGAATAAAAATTCAAGTCCTTGTATACCTCTCCAGCCTCCTGCCAACGCTCCCTTTCTCTTCTCTCACCGCCTTCCAGACACAGAGACCTCTCTGACCTTCCAGCATGGCCTTGGTGCCTTTGCACCTGCTGTTGCTTCCACATGGGACACTCTTCCTCCGGGATCTCCTGTGACTGGCTACTTCTTATCATTCGGGTCTCAGGTCAAACGTCACCTCCTCAGAGAGGCCCTCCCTGACTGCGCTAAGGCAGGGTGCCACAGTCACTTTCTCTTTCATCACCCAGTTGATTTTCTCCCAGCTCTTCTCACACTAGGTAATTATCTTGTGAACGTCTTTGTTTGCCAGTTCAGTGTTAGTCCCCTCCCACCCAGACTGCAGGCTCCAAAAGGGCAGGGACCTTGTCTGGTCTGTCGGGGGTGTGTCCCTGGACCAGGCCTGGCACACACTGGGTGCTGAATACATTCTGAATCAATGAGTGAGTGGGCGAGTGAGCGAGCGAGTGAACGTGAATGGATGAATTTGCAGCTTTGGGAGATGCCCGCCCAAGGCCAGTCCCCACGTACCTGACCTTGGCTTTCCGAAAGGCCAGCTCCTCTTCATTGCCAAAGTCCAAGGACACATCCTCTGTGTCGTCCATCAGAGCCTGCCAGGGGCACCAAAGGCGAGTGGCAGGCCCCACCCCCACTGCTGGCGGGGCCCTTCCCCGGAGGCTGTGCTCGAGACCTTCTCCACCCTCCTGCCCAAGTGGGGTCCAGCCCAGGCCCTGGCTGCCGCACCCCTCCTCCCCTCCCCCCTTCCTCCGAGCGCTCCCGCAGGCTCCTCCCATCCTCGCCACCATCCTTCCACTCCCAGCATCCCCCGCGGCCCTACCTGCTTCATCCTCCCAAGAGCTCACCTGGAGCCCAGACCTCAGGCTCCGGTTCCGCCCCTCGCAGCCGCAGGCCTAGGATGCCCGGCTGGCCCCTGGTGGCGGGAGGGTCGGAGCTTGAGCCCCGCAGTGCAGCCTCGGAGCAGGTCCCCGGTGGGGGCGGGGCGCGCGGGGCCCAGAGCGCAGTCGCAGGCTGGGGAGGTGGGCTCGGCGGCCCTGCACCGGGCGGGGCTTAGAAGGTCCCTGGGCCCAGGGGCTCACTGGGGACCCAGCCTAAGAGAGAAAGAGCAGATGCTCCGGAGCAGAAGGATCCAGGGCGTAGACCGGGCTCAGAGGCGGACTTGGGGACCGTGAACAGTGATCCCGGGAAGAATAGCGGGGGTGAATGAGGGACGTTCCGTAAATGTGGAATGAGCAAGCGAGCAAATGAATGAATGAATGTCAGTGTTCCGCAGCCTCACTCAGGGTTAGGAGAAGGTCAATGTGTCCCCAAAGTCTCTGATCCTAAGAATTTCCCAGGGCCTTTAGTAAAAGCACGTTCCCAGACCTGGCCCTGGAGATTCAGAAGCCTGGAATCTGCCTTTTAACTGCGGCCACGCCTGGGGGAACCACTGCTGACCCCCGGTACAGCTGCACTCATCCGGGTGCCAGACACATACTGAACACAAAATAACTATTATTGGCAGTAATCTCGTGTTTCTGGCTGTAAAGCCTTCCCAGGTATCTCCCAGAAAAAAGGAGGCTTGCCACCTAAAAAGCCTTTCCTTGCCCAGGACAAGGTCACTTCCCCTCCTTTCTGCCCACTCCCTCTCCTGACCTCCCACCCCAGGCAGACAGCTGAGCATCTCAATGCCAAGGCCCCTAGTCCTGCCATAGGCAGTAGGGGCCTGTCCCCCATTCTTCATGACCAGAAAAGGGTCCGAGTTGTTCCAAGATTTGTGCCTGAGAAGCCACAAGCCCAAAGAACACACCAGGTAGCTGAGTATGAGAGGTCGTTTTATTGAGACTTACTGATGGGGGAGAGTCGCCAGTGGCTGCCGGTGGGAGAGGTAGCGCTCTGCACCCAGGCAGAGAAGAAGCAAGGTTTATAGAGACAACAAACAAAGAGCATTCTGGGGAGACATCATCTGGCAGACCCTACAGGCCTGCTCTCATGCACACGGCATCCCAAGAAGCAAGACCTTGACTGCTGGCTAGTTTACAGAACTGGCTGTCTGATAAGCAGCGTTCCCCTGGAGCGGGGAGACCTTGACTGCCTGCTAGCTTATCTGCCTGTGGGCCAGGTCCCTACAACAACACACCCACTGGTGGCCTTGACAGAGGTGACCAGCCAGGGATGTGCCCAGCAGGAGGAATAGCAAGCAGAACTGCGTAAAGCTGCCTAAGCTCTGATCCCTGGGTGGGTTTCCCCTTCTTTCCCTAAACTGACCGCACAAATGGCCTGCCAGGTGTGTGCTTTCTCCCATGGACAGAATGCCGTCTTTAGGGGTCAGGGGCCTGGGTGGGGTCTGCATGCTGCAGCTCTAACAAGCTCTCAGGTGATGCTGCTGGCCTCTGGACCGCCCTTTGAACTGTAAGGATCTAAACCATCAAAGCGTGGTTTCCTAAAAAAGCCTGTTGGTTCTTCCAGCCCAAAGCCAGCTCCAGGCACAGAAGAGTGTCACACTGAGAGGCTGGGCCCCAGCTGCTTGGGGGGTGAGGGGGCAGACAGGTGGAGGTGAGAAGCCGTTGCAGAATATTTAGGGGCTTTTACTCCTACTCTGAGAATCACCAGCTGTTGGTATCTGTTAAGTTGGGGCTCAGAGAGTCCCCAAGGGGGTGAGGAGGTAGGAAAGTCCCCTTGGAAGTCCCATTTGGGGACAAACTGTCATTGTCAACCATTGGGTTGAGGGTGCCTTACGAAACAGCCACAGCTCCCGCCATGTAGAGGTCACTCCACAAACATGGGGTCATATAGCTCTCCCCTGCCCAACTGTCCACATTGGGGCACAGGCTGAGGACGCAGGTGATGGGGCCAGACCTGGGAGGTCCAGCATTCCCTTCCTGGGGGAAAGTGCCCTCTCTGCACACACACCTGGATGGCTCTCTACAGGGTTTCTGCAGAATTTTTTTTTGGGGGGGGCAGAGTGCCTGAGGATTCTGCAGGGAATTCATCATTGGCTCTGAAACCAGCTGCAGTGGGTTCACCTGGGGCTGCTGGTTAAAAGGCAGATTCCAGGGCCTTCAGAGCCCTGCCCCAGTCTTCTGAATCTCCAGGCCCAGGGCCTGGGAATCTGCTTTTAATAAGGACTCTGGAGAAGTCTTGGGATCAGAGACATCTAGGAAACACTGACCTCCTCCCCTGACACTGGTACCACTGAATATAGCCACTGGGATCCTGACATGAGTCACCCTCTGCCCAGGAGGGGGTTGGGGAGCAGAGCTGCAAGGAGCAGCCTTGTCTCTGACCCCTGGCCCTGGAGCCAGAACAACCTCAGGGAAGGGGCTCCAGGCTCAGGCAGCCCCTGGCCTCTGGGTGGCCCTTGGAGGTGAATCTCTGGCGTTGAGTAGGCCTGGCTGGGAACATGGCCCCACCACTCCCTGGCTGAGTTCCCTTGGGCAGGGGACTTCACCACTCTGGCCTCAGTCTCCACATTTATTAAATGGGGCTGCACCTCCCTCTACCCAGAAGGGATGATGCCATGACTAGAGAAAACACATGTTGTAGGGAAAGTGTCAGGAGCGCAGTTTTCAGGCTCTTGGCCTCACCCGGAAGGGTGCTGGCGCAGTTATTGGATGGCCGTCAGCTGTGACTGGTTGGCCATTAGCTGCTGTTGTTTTGCATATAACTGCAGCAGCTGCGTTAGCGGGCAGATGTCATGGGTTGTGCGGACCCTACTTCCTGTGTCTCGCCTGGCCACCAGCGAGACTGTGACAGCAGGAAGACCCCTTGTTGGGGTATTGGCGGATGTTTACTTCTTATGTCTCGACCGGCCGCCGTCGAGAATATAGTGGTAGGAACCCCCAACCTGTGGCTCTGTTGTTGTTCCTTTTTGGCCTCACCAGACCCTGTGTTCATCTGCTGGGAGCTGAGCTCCACCGTGACACTTGGCATGGCACATGTAAAACAACCTCCTCAGATTAGGGGCTTGGAAAACAGTGACCCTAGTGACAGTGACTCGTGATCATCAACAGAGGGGCCTGGGGTCCCAGGAAGCCCCATGGGCTGTGCAGAACCAGGACGTGCGCCTCATGCCGGAATTACTCCTTTTGCTGAGGGGCATCTGTCTTCATGGGGGGACGGGCGCTGTACATCCAGCTCATTTGGCTGTTTCCTGAGCACGTGCTGTGGGGCCCACACTGCACGTACTTGGGACAATTGGCAGCTGGGAAGGAGGCCTGTGCATTGCCCTTCACCTCAGATGGGATCCCAGATCCCTGGTCCAGGAGGCAGGAGCTTGAGCGTGAACTGACATGGCTGAATGCTGGAGCCGGGAACACAGCGGGGGAGGTGGCCTCGAGGGCTTGGCATGGCCGCACCATGTGCAACTCCAAGCCATGCAGATGTTCTGCTCTTCATCCTGAAGGAAAAGGGCAGCTGGCACAAGGGTTAGGAATAGAGGGCGTGCGTGTGTGTGTGCGTGTGTGCGCATGTGTGTGTGTGTGTGTGTGTGTGTGTGTGTGTGTGTGTGTGTGTGTGGTCAGGGCTGGGGCTGGTAAAGGCCCTGAGCCACACCCGCTCCCCCATCAGGCAGGGTGGAAGCCAAAGCCCCCAGGCATGTCATTCCCCGGTCAGCAGCCACGCCTTACCCTCAGCCCAACACTCCCCATGGGTGACACTCCCTAAAACCCCATTAGTCCCTAAGAGCTGCCCACCTGGCAATGGACCTGCCAGTCACCTCAAGTAGGGTTGCCACATCTAACAAGTAAAAATAGGGCAGCCCAGTGAAATTGAACTTAAGATAAAGAACAAATAATTTTTTTAGTATAAGTATGTCCCATGCAATATTTGGGATATACTTATACTAAAAAAACCCCCCTATCAATTGTTTAACTCAGATTCAAATTTACCTGCTGTCCTATCTCTTATCTGGCAACCCTATGACTCCAGGCCAGGGTGCACCCAGGCCCATGAGGCCTGGGCTCCCACCCTGGTGTCTGGGCAGCTGCCCCTGCCATCTCACCCTCCCGCCCCTTGCAGAAGCTGTGCCAATGTCACAGTTCGCCTTCCACCGGTCCCGGCCCCAGTCCTTATTCATGCTGGCAGCCAGGCAGGGCACCCAGGAGGCAGAGCCGAGGTCCAAGAAAAGAAGGTGGGGCCCTCCGTGGGCTGCCATCAGGGCCCCCATTCACCTTGCTATGGTGCACACCCCTGGGTCCTTCACTCACGCTGGGTGGGACATTAGGGAGGAGGTCAGGAAGGGCCCCTTGGAGCTTCTGCATTTTCAACCCTGTGAAAAATTGGTGTATGTGGTGGGGGAGCAGCAGAAACAGCAGGTACAAAGGCCCTGGGCAGGGAAAGACCTGAGCGCGTTCGGAGAATCGGCGAGTCTGGCTAGCGTACAGTAGCAGAGGGTGTCGCTCACCGGAGCCATCCTGCAGGGGGCAGCCTTACGGGTCAACAGGAGAATCCGGCGTCCATCTTATCGGAGCGCGGTGATGGAAGCCCTCTGGCTGAGGACAGATTCCCAGGTTTCCTGCTCCCAACACCTCACAGGGCCCGGAACAGCCCTGGCTGCAGGAAGGAAGGGCTCTGCGTAATCCGTGCCAAATGGAAAGGTAGGAGGGCGTGGAAGGGTCTCTCTGAGAACCACTGCCATTCAGTCCGCCAGGAGTTTGCAGAGAAGGCCCAGCCCTTCTGATTCACTTGGCGTCCTATTTCTCAGCCCCAACTTGGCAGCGCTATTTCTTTGGCAAGTCATTGGGTATCTCTCCAGTTGCCCCCGAGGTTG